ATAGGATTAAAAGAAGATAATCAATTTTTTAAGAACCACACTTCCATGTTGAAACTTGCATGAATAGAATTTTGCATAATTATCGGAAATGGAGATACTAGCTACAATCTCACGGCAGCAATCTGTCGTAATTGGCATGACTGATGTACACAATATTAATCACGAAATTTTCTCCGTTCATCACTGCGTCAATTTATCTTATAGAAAAGAATTGAAAATGGACAATCAAGCTATTTGTACATCACAATTTTGTCCATTTTTCATTGAGAAACGAAGATTGACAAAACACTTTCGTGAAAAATCGGGGATCATTTGGTACAGCATCACTTTGCCTTTCGTGACGTGTGTCGGGAACATGAACATATACGTGTGTCACGCACGCCATCGTCCGCAATATTACGAGGGAGAAAGAGATAGGGTACGTCGTATTGATCTCGAGGATTCAACAAACAGCACCTAGTACCTCCCGCTCGTTCCTCTCTAACTCTATCTTGCTCCTCCACCCCGTGCCAATCCCGTCCCTCACCCTCCCATTCCCTCTTTCCTTCGCTGATACCTCTCCCTGTCTCTCATCGTGTTCCATACCATTCGATTCGCCCTCGCGTATATAGGGTTTGATGAGGGCAAGCAACCCTGGTCGGACGATAATCGCAATTCCATTGTCGGGCTTTCGATCGCCGTCTCTCGTCTCGACAATAGTTCGAGTAAGGACCCGTCTCCTTCCGCACTTTCTCTACGGCGGGGAATGAAATTGGCGAATCGCATTGCAGGATAATATCTAAAAAAATTAATCGCAATCACTTTCCTTTATTGTATTTGCGGTTTGGAATACCACGTGCAGTACTACAGTAGCTGACAATAATAAGTCAGTGGCACTAAGATTGAATGTTTCTAAATTTTCTTTGCTATTGAATAGACAAATATTGAAACGTTAGAAAATCTATTTATTTATGGTTGAAAAGTGAAGTAAACATTTACCGATTTACATGCAAAAAAAATGTCACGTTTTGTTTCAGTATCTTTACACTTGTGCTTTTTACCAGATAAGAAAGATATTTGCTTATATAATTTTTAAAACACAACGCAAAATTTCTGTGAATTCTATTAAACAGTGCCATAGTTCATATAGTCACTAAATAGCAAGAATGACTTCCTAGGAATGGCTGGCAAACTTATGGGATGAGATGGGGTGAGGAGGAGGTAGTTTAGTCATTCGTGAAAAGTAAGCATTTCGAGGGAATATTAATTTAACCAGGAAAACACAGTTTCGATCCATCGATTCGGCGCGGCGGCGCTTGTTAACAACACGAGTGCCTGTCTCGGGTAGCAGATTGTCGATTTCCGCGCAGACGGACGAGCAAGCGAGCGAGTGAATGAGCGAGCAAGAGAAAGTTTGCTGGAACACGCGATATTCAGGCCTATGACCATCGACCACGCGATCTCACAGTCGCCACGTTTATCCTCGTTGCGAACCCCTGACAAAACAAACCCCGCCGGCTTATCCAATTCCGCGGTGTTTCCACGAATTTCTTCCATCCCGTACCTCGTGCCAACCCCTGACGCTCGCAACCCCCCCTCCTCCCCGACGTAAATGGAAGCAGAGCTTCGCATTTGTTCTCAGCAACTCCCTCCTTCGACTGCCACTCTGTCTCCTTATCCGCGCACGTTCTTACTCCAACCGCCTTTCTCCCCTTACCCGTTTCGTTCTGCTTATTTCGTGCCATCGCATCGGCGTAAAGCCC